TGACAGAGATATGCACACTTTCACTGCAGGTGAAATGACGTGCTAATGAACTGTCTGGAAACATTGTACTAAATAATTTTCCAGTGTCTTTGGAAGAATTGTAGGAGTAGTAGCTTTCTACAACTTTTAAAGCCCATAAAATCTCAGAAGAAAGTTCTTAAAAGATGGAGGCAGCAGGAGAGCTGAAAGCAACAGAATTTAAGGAAACCGATTTAAGGATTTAGGGAAACCGATTTAAGGAATCAGATCACTCAAAAAAATTTTCAAAACGCCAAAATAAAACATATTTAGCACTCAGAAGAAATTTTAGCACTTTTTTAGGACAGCAAGAACCCTGACGACAACACACGGGTTAATTTTTTTGATAGGATAAATTTTAGTTCCGTGAAACATTTTAAAATGGGCCCGGTACTCAGATATTAAATAAAACGACTGTATTTCTTAACCCTCTCCTCTTCTTCTCAGTTGTATAGGAATGTACTACGATATTTTCCATTTCTTAATATTTTTGTATTTAACTTTCAAACATATTTTTTTTAATTTTCTCGACGCTCTCTTTTAGAACTATGTTTAACGTAGTTTTCAGTTCCATCGAAAATCAAGATAGGAATTAATGTACTTCCTTCTCCTTTGTCTCTAAACGAGCTAATGGTGAATGCGTCATAGTTAGAATAATCTGCTCTAACCCTCCCCCCTCTTCTCAGTTGTGAAGGAAAGTACTAAGATATTTTTTCTAATATTCCCATGACACTTTCTTTTAGAACTATTCGCTATCCCAACGCTAGAGTACCAGTTTCATATGTTTTGACCTTCCCCCCTTCTCTATTGTATAGGAATGTACTACGATAATTTTCATCAGTTTTTGTCCTGAGAATGAAAGTGCGCCACTACATTTAGTTATCATGAGCAACAAGATAAACGTCAATGTGTCTTCGAGATTCCCAATTGGCCTAACTTGCACTCCTAGGCTAAATAATGCTTGAAATGTTCTAATTACAGAGCTAGTTCTTTTTCACTAATATCATTGGCATAAAATCTTCAAAAATCATAAACGCAAGGCATTAATTCTTTGGATTAAAGCATTCAAATTTTTAAAAAAATCCGAATCAATAATTTATTGGTTTGCACAGCCATTGAAAGAGATTTTATGGATTAATCAATGTGTCAATTACTGGGAGATACAATATTTCGCTACCTAGTAAATATAACATCATTCGCATCTCCAAAATAAAATGTAAAACGAGAAATTCTTGGTGACGTACGTGTTGTCACATCTTTATGTTTAAAATTAGGTGAATTCTCTTTGGAAATGAATTCTTCATGGATTCAATCAATTTTAAACAAACATCGAAAGGACGACCTTTCTTTTGTAAGCCTATTGAAGTCTGATTTATTCTTCGATTTCTTTAGAAGACCACGACCATCGAGTCTAGCTTTCTGAAACTTTTTTTTCTCGTTTTCTAAAATTTGAAAAAATGGCCATAATTTTTCCGAAACTTTTATGCAGTTTCGTTACTGTGTCAAAACGGGTGGAGTCAAATGGGCCTAGTATCCGAGGGACACTTCACGACTAGTTCAGATTCTAAGCATTGTTAGGGTTAGAACTGGAGAAAAAGAAACGAGCTAAGTTACTGTGTATGTAACAATTTGAAATAATCCTCTAAGACGCATATGCTAGGCATGGTAAAAATTGTTGTGGGACATTTCTCTTTTAATCTTCTTTGTTAACATTATCCTATGTTTGTCCTCAAGCCTTAGTCATTAGGAAAAGATACAATACTTATTGAAAAATATTTTGTTTTATACTTATCCCACAATCGATTAATTACAAATCAAATGTTTATTGTATAAAAAACGGACCATCCTAAATAACTGATGATCTAATGGCTGGAGGGGATGACTTCAAATATGTTAATAAATGCAGACGATATTTGAAGTTACGAAATCAGACACAAAAACGCTCTTTCTTTGAATAAACATATCTTTTTCACGGATTTGGAATTCTGACCCCCTAATACATAGGGTAGCTGCAATCTGAGAAATATGATCCCACTAGTTCGGTCAGGAGAGAGCTCCAAAGTGTGGGCGACCCCTTAAAGTTAATTGTACTTTTTCGTATTTCGCCATATCGTGATAAAGTTTGAAGCGGAAGTGAACATTCTTTTCACATTTGCAAAATGCATTTAGGCAAAGATAATTCCATGCATAAAATAAATTTTAGTAAATATTTATTTCATTAAGTCGAAAAATTAAAAAAAAAAAAACTAAAAGTCAGAAAAAAATTACTTGCGTCTCAGGATATATAAATTTTATAATTTAAATTTTTTTTTAAAAATTAGTTTCAAAAGTTCTTAAGATTTAACGAAATACGCAAAAAGTGAAATTGATATTAAAGGGTTCTAACTTTGGAGCCCTCTCCCGACCACACTTCCCAGATTGCGGTTAAACCCTATATTTTGGGGGTCAGAAATCGAAGTACGTAGGGGAAAAAAGGTGTTTATTAAGAGAAAGTAAGTTTTTGTGTCTAATTTCGTAACTTTAAAAATCCTCTGCGCTGACTAATTGGCACATTTGAAGTCATCCCCTCGAGCTATTAAGATAGAGTCCTAGAACGTGAAGATCCAATCATTGGATCAAAAGTTATTTAGGGTGGTCCAATTTTTATTTTGCACACTGTACTGTACACTTAGAAATATGTTTTGCATGCAACATGTTAAACTATTTCATTTTGATTTATAATACTTAATTTAATAAGAGGTTGCATTGCATATTTGTGTAAGATTTCATTTATGAATGCATGAGAAATCTGTTTTTGTATTTAATGTAATAAAAGCAGTTGTGATTTTAATTACAGGACTAACTATTCTTTTATTCTCACGACCCACTTTCCTAATTTTTATTTTAATAGCTTTTCAAATATAAAACATACAGAATTTACATTACATATTTACAACTGTAGTGCTAGAAAATATTAATGGGAACCACCACAAAATTGGGAAAATTTTAGAACTTCTGTATAAGGACAAAGGGTCTATTAAGGGACCTATATTCGCGAGCAGTGAGAAATCCCAAGGCCTTTTTCTTATGAAGAGTAAAATACAAAATTTTATACAGCTTGTCAATTATTGTTGTAAAATATGTTTCTAATCAAGAAAAAGCAAACTTATTTTTCAATTTTTTAGACATAGTCAAAAATGTGTAATAAAACATCAAGACATTGTCAGTTTGTGGTCACTAACTATTGTGTAGCAATAATTTGCAATTTTCACACAATCTTTTAGTGTTGTCAGACAATTGAGCAAACTTGACTTCACAAATAAATTCTGGTGAACCAATCTCAGACATGATTAATTTCAAATGTGGCTAAAGTTTAAATTTCTAAATAATTTTTCATTCCAGAAATTAGTTAGATTCTTTGATAATTTAACAATTTCAATCTCTTATCATCTAATAACTTCATTAATTACTCTCTAAATACTTAAATTGTATTATCAAATATCTAAGCTTTAGAAAACTAAGAACTCCAGAGCTAAAAAATTTAAGATATCACAATTCAACGAATGTTACAAAAAACTACCTCTATTATGAAATTTATTAAAAAAAATTCACTACAATATATTATTTTTTCATGAGAAATTACTTTCTTAACAAATATTTTGGTTTAGGCATGTGAATAGCCAACCCATTTTTGGATACAGCTTTTTCAAGAATACCATGACGTTTTATTAAAGGGATATTCTAAAGAATATATAGTAGTACTTAAAACTTAAAATATATATGAAAAGGGGGGTGGGAAACATAGGAAGTTCAAATTAGAGGGGAGAATGAAATATTGTAACAATAAAAAAATTTGCTTTATTTTTTTTTTTTTTTTATTTGTTTCCTATCCACACAACTTGATAGCTAACAAGATTTGACAAAATAATTTTAAATAAACACAATGCAATCCTTTTTAAAGAGGATAAGACAGATTTGTATTAATCTTCAAATTTAATAAAGCTTCAAGGTAGTAAAATTTAAAAAGGGATTCATTAAAAGAATTGATAGAAAATTTATATTGTGAAATTTTACACTAGGGCAAAAATATGACCCCTAATAATTATTTTTAAGTTTTAAAAAAAAGTTTATCTTTGCTATATCAAAATATACTTTCATTAGCTAGATCAAATCAATATTTTTTTACTTATAAGTCAACGCAAAATATTTAGATCTAAATTTGGATCAGAAAAATAGAAAGAGTAAGAAATTTAGAACACGTTATATAATGCATGCATAAAACATTTAATAGTCCAACCATATTCATTTAATTATTCTTGTTACAATTATTAAAGTTGTAATTTCGCATTATGGGTTGTACTAAAACAACATATCAGATTTACATGAAAAATTTTTATTTCATCAACTTCAATAACAGATGTGCATTATGTGAAGAAACTTAAACTGAACATAAAACCTTTTGTTAGAGCTATGTTCACATTGCAAATCTACCAAACTTACTAAAACAAATTTAAATTTTAAAGAAATTACATTGAGGAGCCAAAATATATTTTTAAAAATAACAAATATGTTTCAATTTTTCTAATTTTTTTTTTCCTATCAACGAGCACTTTAAAAGCAAAGTATAAAACTTGTGAGTTGAGAATTAAAAAAGTTAATCATTAAAAAACAGCAGATTAGTATTTTTGATAGTTTATTCAATCTGCAAGCATTAAAAGCGCATTATTATTTGAAATTAAATTAATATTCAATTCAAAATTATACATAACATAAAACGGAATGAAGTGGGCACAATTTAAATTATAAAACTTAGTTGGGGATAAAATAAATATGTATTACAAAAGAGTAATGCAAATAATTGACGGAATAGGTAAAAACAATCATAAAATATAAATCTGATCACATGTTTTGTTTCATGCAATTTTGTTTTATTATATACTTTAAATAATCAACTTTTGTTGCTTTTTTTAACTAAAAAGAAAAGAAATTTAGAAGTCATTGACTTCTGGCAGATGTAAAAAGTTTTATTTACACAGCACAAGTCAGTATTCATTTCAGAGGAGAAAAGGGGAAAAAAAATTACATTTACACATTGACACAATAATATGTCTGGCCATGTCTTCCACTGGATTGATGGATTTCCAGTTCTGGTTATAGAAACTGTCATCTAATATATAGTTAGAAATTGAGCATAGTGATTGCTTTAATTTAATGTACATTCAAGTAACAAAATAACAACAGGTGCAAGGTGAACTATAAGTTGCAACAACATCTTGCCCTGAATAATAATAAAATAAAAAAATAATAAATTAAAGAGGACTGCCAGTTTTTTAAGCATAAAAATGCAAGGATTTTTTGTTCTTGCAACAATTTACAATAGCTTAGAACACCAATTATTTTTCTCACAATATAGAAGTATAAAATTTAATAATTTAAGAGTCAATTTTTTTCACTTAAATTCAATGCTACACAAATCTCAATAATAAGAACTGGCCCCCAAAAATAACCGCATTGACCAGAACAGGAAACAGCAGAAAGTAATATGGTGTAATGGAAGAAGCGCTAGTTTATATCAAATTAATTAAGAGAGGTCACATAGCATATTTCCTTGTCCACTCTCGGGCCAGCTCGTTGTACTTCTCTCGGTCAGTTTTATAAATTTTAGCTATTTCTGGTACCAAAGGATCATCTGGATTTGGATCACAAAGCAAAGAGCATATAGATAGCAAAACTAAAAATAAAAGGAATAAGACACAAAATTAAACAATAACAATAAAGAGCAAAATAAAGCATTACATATGATGAAAGAAAATCTATTATAAATGGCACCAAAGTTCTTTTAATTGCAATTTGATATAACTTGACTTTAATCTTTTTTTTTTTTTTTTTTAAAGAAAAAATAATCTTACTCTAAATTTGTTTTAAAAAGAAAAATACAATTGTACTGCTTGTAAGCAATATTCAGTTACTGCCGCCTTGCATAAGCAATTATTTTAAGATTTAGAAATACAGTTGCAATATTAAAATACAATGTAGTTTTGGAGATTCTAATTAAATTAAGAATTAGGGAGGTTTCTGCGTAACAAACCAAACTACTCATACAAATGTATGTATATCCAGGCAAATCTGTGGCTAAAAATCTTAATTTCTCTAAAATTATTAAAATTGAAAGATCAAAATTCAACCTTATTAATTATAAATTTTAATTTCAAACAGTATTATATTACTACCTTGTACACATCCAGATTCAGGTCAATTCAAGGAAACTCACAAATCAAACGCGCCATAAAATGATCCATCTATCCCCTATTTACGCTTCTATTTTCATATTTAGTAATCTGGCAGACTTATTACAAAAATATTTTTAAATCATGTTTGAAAGATGCCAGTAAGTGTAAATACATTTGATTTGTGCATTTTATTTTCTATTTTTTGCTTGATATGATTACGTTTGTATATTTTAACTTAATATGTTCTATATTCGTTAAAAAAAATGTTGGGTGCTCCTAACACTGTTATATTTTGCTTTTGCTATATTAATACAATACAAGAAAGCACTCTTTTTTGCTGATGTAATCGTGTGAGCTAGTAACAAGATTATCTTTTTTTTAAATATTGTATTTTAATAATCCTTATTTTTCCTTTCATAAATCTTTATTTTCCTCCATGTTTTCTCTCTGTGTGTGCATATAATATATCAGGTTGAGTAAAAAGTCTTCCACCAAGGGGAGATACCTCCGCGTCAACATCAGCCGTTCACGTGGTAGTTACCTTTGACCCAACAGGTTTCTGCATTCTAAAGCTAAAAGTTGGAACTATACAGCTCTACAATTTGTTTGTTAAAACTTTATTATCTTGTGCACTAAAAAAGTGCTCAAAATGGAACTATCATGCCAACAGATCAGAACGATTATGTACTAGGAGTTCAGAAATAAAACTCAGTGCAACTGAGTGCCACCAAAAATTGTGTGAAAGTTTAGGTTTCAATACTATTTCTTATGATACAGTAAAGTTTGTTTCGAAAGTTAAAAGCAGGAGATTTCAACATTGAAGATGAACTACATTTTGGCTGCCCTATTGAGGTTGATTGTCACCAGTAAAAGCAAATCATTGATCAAGACAGAAATATTTCACCATGAACTACTGCTTTAGAACTTGACATTTGCCAAAAAACAATATTCAATGCTCTCAAATGCATAAATCTAAAGTTTAAGTTTACCCGCTGGGTTCCTCACAAATTGACTGCTGAAGAAAAGAGTAAGGCCTGTATGGCTCTGCTCAGAGATCAAAGAGAAGAGAACATTCTGGACAGAATTGCGACTAGTGACGAAAAATGGGTGTACTACAACAATACAAGCCATAAAGGAGAGTGGTCAGCAACCGAGGAATCAGCAGGTTCGGTTGTAAGACGAGCACTAACCAACAAGAAAGGGATTCTCTGTATCTAGTGGAATTATCTAAAGGAGTACATGAAAAGCAGACAAGCTATCAACTGTACAATATATAGCAATATGCTAATTAAAGTTAGCGATGCCATTCACAAAAAACGAGTTCCGAAGGAATGCGATTCTCTTTCATCAAGCCACCACATGTTAGTGCAATGACCAGCTGGACGCCCTACACGCTGGAGTGGGATTGGATGTAACATCCAACGTACAGCCCAAACATGGAGTCTTTGAATCGCTATCTGTACCTTGATGACACAAATTTCCATTCAAATGACGAGGTCATAAATGAAGTTGATTGCTTTCTAAACTCGCCCACACCACAGTTCTTTGCAGAAGGGATTGAAAAATTGTCAAAATGCTAGCAGACCATTGTTAATTTGAATGGAGATTACTATCCTCATCTTGCTAATTTTGAATGTATTTATCATTTTACAAGATCATTTTTTTTTGGTAGAAAACTTTTTACTCAACCAGATAAATATATACAGTACGATCTCGAAAATCCAGACTCTTATGTCTAGTTTGTCAGAAAAAATTTCCCAAAAAAACAATAAATAAAAATTTAAATGTAAGAGCAAATCCCCAACTCTTCTAAAACAATGAAGCAGTAGATGAAGAGGTAGGGGTGGGGAGTGAATGAAAGGGCATAGCTGATAAGGAAATTTCAGTCATTCTTATCAGCTCTGAATAGATAACAAAGAATACAGAGGGGAATCCCCTCTATATTCTTTGATAGATAAGGTGTGCAGGAGGAGGAATTCTTCTACCACTTTGTTTTTCCCCCTTGTGAAGAAATAAAACTGGTTCTTTCTTTACCTTGAAGCTTAAGAGGCAGGGACAAGTTCTTTCACCCCCCAACAAAAAAAGGATTACTATCAGCTAGAACAGTCTAGCCTAGAAGCACCTGTTTCAGTTATAAGTTGAAATTCAGCTCACCTTTTAAAAGCATATATTTTTAGTTTTAATTGCTAATATCAGGGATGAGATTAGCCAAAAGGCAAAAAAGCTGAATTTCCACGATAGTAAATTTTACGCAAGCGCAACCCTTTAATAATAAATTCCAGACAGTTTAAGGTAATAAATAATGTGTTGACATACAATTGTGTACTAATCTATTATTATATAAATGATTACATTGATACTTAACATTTAGTGAAAATAAAAATTACCAATTGAAAAAATAAAGCTGGAAATTATATTTTTCCTCAGTTCACATAAGAGACAATTATTACTTGAAAAACTACCTGGTTTAGCAAATTAAAACTACTGAGAATATACATTAATATTTCATTTCTTTTAATAAATACTGTTATGTGATTTATAGCAAATATATCAGTAATATTACTTTTTAAATTATATTGGAAAAAAAAACTTTAACAATGGACCGAATCATTATGTTCATATTATAGTCTAATCTAACTACAGCCCTCTGAAACATATCAATAACAGTGAAGTAGAAATATATAGTAACTCCTTAACATACAAAAATTGCTATTTTAGTTTGAAAAATTACATGACAATCAGCAACTGTTTAGATAATTGTTTTTTATTTGATAAGAATTTTGCATTTTATAGCATAAATAACAGCAATTATAAATAAAATTTTGATGATGAGTTAATTAACTCTTTTTCCAAAAAAAAAAAAATTAAATTAAATCCCTTTTTAAGTGATTGCTTTTGTTTGCTATATCTTTTATGTTTGCTATATTTAGTCGTTAGTCCATCTTCAAACATCTTGTGACAAATCCTATTTTTTCTTCTTTGCAAGCACAGAATGTAAGTTTTGAATATATTCCCTTCCAGTTTCTCTGATGTTGTAACACTTACATATACATACTAATAATCGTCGTTAGAAAAACAGTCACTTTTATAGTAACTAATTTTTAAAAAAAATTTACTTCTTACAAGAATCGCGATAGTTGATCTTAAAATTGCGTGAATATGAATAACAATTATGGATTTTGAAATCACATGAATATGAAACTAGATATACGATTTTGAAAATGAGAAAATACAAACTGGGATATAGAATTTTTAAAACGCGTAAATACAAATCACGATTCATAATTTTTAGATCGCGTAAATACGAATCATGATGCGTAATTTTTAGATTGCATAAATAAGAATTATGATGCATAATTTTTAGAATGCGTGAATGCGAATCCCAATGCCTTATTTTAAAATCACGTATAAATACGAAAATCAATGTTTGATATTATAAACCGCATGAGCAAATCAAGACATTGAATTTTAAACTTGCGTGAATACGAATCGCTACATAGGTTTTTAAAAAGGCGTAAATACGAATCACAATATCGGATTTTTAAATCTCGTAAATAAGAATCGCAACGTACAATATTCAAATCGCGTGAATAAGAATCGCAACACGCAAATATGAAAAGCTATGTTTGATATTAAAATCGTGTGAATAAGAATCGAGATATTAGCAGATTCCAGGCTTGGGACCTCTAAAAGGCTTGTCAGAAACAGCGTCGTTTGAACTACAAAAATCGGATCTATCTGGAGGGCGGGTAAAAAATTCGAAAAATCTTATCTGCTGCGTGTAAAAGGGGAGAAAATAGCTAAAATAAGTAAAAATGAGAAAGGATTGGTAGCTATGTAGTTTGAATTTTGTGTTTCTCTTTGAAAATGGGTGAGTTTTCTGAAAAAGCTGAATACTTATAAAAAAAAGTGAAATTTTTAGAAAAATCTGAATTTTTGATAAAAAGCTGAAATTCAAGAGATAAAAGTGAAAAAAGCGGAAATCAGCTAAAAAGCGGAAAAATCTCATCCCTGTAATATTATGTTATCTAAACAATCAATTACAGGGGGAAATAACGAAAGTTTGATTTTGAATGTCTCTTATTTCAAGTGAGTAATGTTAAGTTAAAATTGACATCCGAGGTCTTCACACACGCGTTTAATCGCGAAATCGGCCTGGCGAATTAGAAACTTCGATAATTCTATCAATTTAAGTAAGGTATCTAAAATCCAAAAATTTCAGAATTCCGGACCCTCCAAACCCCCCAGCAGTCCGGATTTCCGAGGTTGCACTGTATGTATATATAACTGCATTAAAATTTCACTTTGTTTTTCATTAGCATTCTGAGAAACAGATACATGAATAACAGGGTGCGTAGCTTGATTTTTCATCAAGAAAAAGCACCTTTTAAGTACTTTTTAAGCACTAAAAAAAAACATTTTTAATCCAAAAAAAAAAAAAAAAAANAAAAAATTGGATCCATACAGTAACAAAATTTTTTCTATCCTTTTAAAGTTCTTAATTTATGAACATAAAATCAATAAAATTCAAAAACATTTTCAAAAACTTTACATAATCATAATAAAATAACTAGTTTCTGATAAATATTGTAGAGAAAATTATAAAAATCATGAATTTTTTGCAATGTAGAACGACAATTGATATGGCAAAGATAAAAATCTCTTCTTAAAAGCACCTTTTACAAACACCAAATATAAAAAGTAACCTTTAAGGGCTTTAAAAAAAACGTAAACCAAAAATAAGCACCTTTAAGCACTTCTTAAAAACGAACGCACTGTGAATAAGATTTTAAAATGTTATCTCAAAATGTTGGACTTTATTACAAGTTTTGTTATTTAAAGCTTATTAACATATAATAAATTTTTAAACTATGATAATCAATAAATTAAACTTAATTTAGTTCATTGAAAAGCGATGGAATAAAAAAAAATTAACAATAGAAAAAGGGAATGAATTCTCAGACCCTAAAAACAATCAGATGACTACATGAACACGAAAAAGTTTACCCTTAGATATTGTTAGAGCTGGTGACCATTGTGAGCGTAGAATATCCAGGCAAATGCTACCATTACTGTTGATGTTTGGATGATAAATTCTAGTAGTAAACGCTACCTGTTTTCAAGAAGAAAAAAATATTTTAATTTATAAATCATGAGTCACATATAGATTTGAGCAATGTATTTTACAAAAGCTATGTATGAATATTTAAAAGTTTCAATCAAAATTAAAAACATTTATTAATAAACAGACATAACTCAACTTTTTTGAATGAATAAAAGTAACAATCTTAAAGAGTACAAATAATATCAATTTCAAAGACATTTAATATGTATATTGATATATGGGTATATCATGGTATTATTTAATGTAGGAATGGTAATGATTCAATTGACACACATTAACTTTAAATTTTTTATACTTTTGAGATTTCATTACTGTTTACCAAAGATAGAGTCTGAACCATGTTTAGAATATGGACAGTTATAGGATGATTTGGCCAACCATAAAAAAAAACATAACTTTTTTCAGACCTAGCAGTTGTCCCAATTACCTATTTTTCTTATAGTCCAGAAAATTCAGTGTATTTTAAAACATTTTTATTGCTTTATTCCCTCACAGTTTCAGGTTTCAGTATCTTATAGTCACACTAAAACCATTTTTATTGAGTACTTATTTAACAGCAATTAAAAGTTAATTCATATCAGATTAATTTATCGATTTATTAGTCGTTACCTCAGTTTGTTTTTAAACAATGTAATCAGGAATGAAAACACACATTTGACAATATTTGAAACAAAAATTTTTTATTTTAATTTTTCATTTCCAACATATATTAAAAAATATTATACCCTATTATTTTAAATCAAAAATTTTATTGTAAATGTTACTGCAGAAGAGATGGCATATACTACTCGCATGTGAGTTTACCACAAGGAAACTAAATCCATTACACATTGAGCTTTTCGTTCTTTAATTACCTAACAAATAGAGTACTTTGTCTATTTCTCATTATTAAATTTAAACGAATTTTTTTTATTTTAATACCATTTTATGACAAGGCATAACTTTCAGTAATAATATCTATGTTGTGTAAATATTGTAAATTAAATAAACTTACTATAGAGCTTGAACATTCAGAAACTTAATTTCAGATTGATTTCAAGAAATTGAATAAAAGTTAAATTTTATTTCTTTCTCAAAAATTTTTGATATGGATGCAGCTATAGAATAATATGACAATTGTGAAATTTTATTACCCTTTAATGTTTAATGCTGGTGTTTGTATATAAATCTTTGATTTTGGAATACATACCTGACAACCCTAATTTTTAAAATTGCAGAAGATTCACTGCAAAATTTCAGAAGAAATCACTTAAAAGGAAAATTTTATGAGGTTCGAATCCCTACCTAAATTTATAGTAATTAAATATCATGAAATTAACTTCATTTTATTAAAAAAAATCTAACCTTGATCATCTCAAAAAATTTACTTGATCATCGATTACAAAACAAAAAATTGCCAGTTTTTTGCTTTAAAAATAATTTTTTTTTTTCATTTTTACCATTTTTCAATAAATTATGAAGAGAATAGGTCCATTTTCGATAGATATAAGACAGTTCTGAGGCTACCAACAATTGAGTTAAATGAAGCGTCAAGCCTGAGATAAATAATTTCTATTACATTTAATTATTTTAATTTTGCATTATTACGAGTAAATTTCGAACAGAGATAATTTGGTAATAAATAAACATTCTTATTCAAATCCCAGTTTTTTAATACTTTATTACTATGAGAATTTTTAATCAAGCTGATTCTTTCGTATATCAAATATCTATTCTACCGTTTCTCGCTCAGTACAATTGTTTTGAGCCACCAATTTCATTGCAGCAAATTTTTAGCCGTTTGCCTTTTATTTCTCGATAGTTAATTTTGTGGATTTCTACAAGATTTTAAAAATCCAGTTATTTTTAATACTATGTTATTACAATGTAAATTTCCAATTAGGCAATCAGTTTTTCACATGTTTGATGCCAATTTGTATTACCTGTAGGGTTGCCACAGAAAAAAATGAACAAAATAGTTGCTTTCAGTAGCCTAAAGCATGAAAATAGTTGCCTAAATAAGAGAACAAAAATAAGACTAAAATTTTATTAAATGACTTAATTGTCATATACCATTATCCATTTAGTCAAGTTGGTGGCAAATATGATAATTTTTATATAAACGTTAATGCTCTAGCACTAAATTTTTATATAAAAAAATTTGTATATTTTTAGAAAATTAAATACTTTTAGTTTACTAGAATTCATTCAAAAAATACTTTTTCTTTAAAAAAAAAAAGTATTAAAAAAAACACACACTTACTCGAAAAATTTTTCCCTTTTATCAATAATTAATTTAGCAAATATATATATTATATATTTGCTAAAAGTGATGACTCAAATTTGCAATCTAAAAATTTCATTTTTTAAAAATTTTATTATTTTATTTTTTAAGAAAAGAAATTCAGGGCAGCAGGTTTTCAACCCCATTTATGCTAAAAACATAGCTAGGAGTACAGAAAAGTCTCCTAATAGTCTCCTTTTCCTGAAAATAGTTGCTTTTTTTTTTAAAGCTTTTTCAAGTAAAAAAGTTGCCATAGTCGCTTCATGCTGAAAATAGTAGCAAATAGTTGCATTTTAGTCGCCTGTGGCAACCACGTACTTGCGGTCTTATCCATCGTTTTTTCGTTAATTATCACTATTAATTTCTACACTGTCTTTAAAATCATATTTTTTTTAATCAAATTTTATTACAACAAGTAAATTTCCAATAGGGCATTTTAGTATTTTATTGCTGTCTTTTTGACAGCTTTTTCTAATAATTTCCAGGTGATACTTTAAACACTGCAATTTTTAAATCTATTTTTGAACAGCGACATCTTAAAACCACCTAGGTTTTTTTACACTCAATCTTATATAATCTCTACAAGAATGTTTTAGATTTGTTATTTGTACAGTTTTAAAATTGTTTTTTTTTTTTTAAATACAATACTATTAATAATGATATTTTTGTATTATGAATTAAAATTATCTCGTCCTTCTGTAGAAATAGACTTGAAAAAAATTTCTCTTTCAAAGTTAGGTTAATTTTGCCCAGACCAAAACAAATGATTGCACAGGTCCCTTTTTTTTTATTGAGGAGGAAAATTAAGCATCACAAGGAGCACAACTTTATTTTTTGTCTTGCATCTTTCACTTAGGGCATATTTTATGTGCTATAGCACATAACCAGTAATAGGGGCAATTCCCTCATAACAAGTAATGGGGGCAATTTCCTCATTTACAAACGCCACGTTTGCAAATTTTAGCTATGCTAAAAATAAAAACTAACAGTTCTAACAATTTCTGTTAAAATAACTCTTGACTATTTTAAAACATTTTTCAATTTATGAAAGTTCACAAAAATTGAAGTGAAAATGTAGTCATTTTAACATAATTTAATGGAAGGCTTGAATTTTTAAACTAAGTTGCATGCTTTTAAAGTCTGCAAATAACAGATTATGACAAATCCAGGTTTTATAGAAAGCCAAAGAGAAGAAAAAATTGGATATTTCACAAAAAGAATCAGGATAGGTTTATAACACATACTAGACTACCTTTAAAAAGGGCAGAAAATTAAACCTCAATTTAAATTACTTTTTAAAATAGCGTAATTTGTCTCACATAAATGAAATATTAACAAACTTTATTGCAAAAGAGAAATACTTTATTTTAAAATTATAGTTACTTTTTTCAGAACAGAGAGCTTTAATAGTTTCTAGCATTATTTTTACTAATAAAGTATTGAACAGCTCATGATACTTTGAGATCAATACAGAGAAAATATAATAGTAATTTTTATGGTATTAAAAAATAGTATCAGTAAATTAATATGCCCTTATACCAACAGGGGTCTGTCCGGACATTTTCCAAAGGGTCTAGTTTTTGTAAAATTGAGAAAAAATTACTCGTAATTTGTGAATATAAAATAAACGTTAAGTCACATTCTTTCAACCAGGGTCCTGCTTGTATGAATTTGTGCAAATAGGGTCCGGTTATTGCAAAAAACTTTTTCAAGGAGTTTTTAAACTGTAAATAGATACAAGATTATACTCAGCACTGTAAAATTACAAATAAAAAAATTTATTTTTCAAAAATAAACAGCAATTGCTGCTTCTATATTAGAGATGCAACAAACAAATATTTGGTATTTAGCCTATACTGCTGAATGCAGAATACTCATTTCGCACAAATAATGGAAGAAGCGTCTGCCGAAGACAAAACTTAATTCGTTTACATCCATCTTTCTTGTTTTCCCTCCTGGGAAGGGTTTATTCGATTAACAAAAAAATAATGAAGATAAACTAATTTGTGAAGGGTCTGATTAAAAGAAAAATCATTTTGTAAAGGGTCCGTTTTTATGAAAAGATATTTTGTGAAGATGAACTCTTTTGTATTTCTTCTAAACAGACCCCTGACCAATATTTAACTAAAATTTGTATTCCAGTTAAAGACTTCCTTCCTTAGTCAAATAAGTTTTAATTAGGATTAAAAGCCATACATAAATGTCACTTCTGAAGAGGTTTCCTGAAATTACGACAGTTTGTGACAAGGGGAAGGAAAGAGATAACCAAAAGTGAAATGCTACAATTTCAATTTTTTTTATAATAAAAAATCATGTAAAATCAGCGAATTCATTTTTTTTTCATTTGAATAAGTGTACATACAATTATTCTCATGCTCTAATACTAAAACACATAATTTTAGCTTAATAAAATTTAAAACATGATCTATAACATAGAAGCATGAATTTTAATTTTTTAATGATACTAGCTGGTATAAAATTTTTATTCGCCACTGTTCAATATTCATAACAACTATGAATAATTTTTATGTTAATGCAATACCATACATTTTCTTACAGATTGTATCACAGTTAAATAAATTATGACTATACTATAATCTCTGGTAAGTAAACTAATTATTTACAAAAATATAATGTTCTTTTAAATAAGTTAATTTTTCAATTCAAGGATTTAATTAAATTACAATCAATATTTAGTGCAGTTACTAGAATAAATTTCCTAATTACACTTTATTTTATTACATTTAGTTTCAGCACACCTACATTGTAGTCTATGCAGCTCAGTATCAATCGAAATAATAGTTTCGAATTTCGGTCTTATTCATACAAAACAGTAAAATTAACTTGGAATACAAAGGTGATTTTAATCGTCATGAAACCCAAAATTTAGGTGTAAGGGTAGTTAGGTATTGTAAACATGAAGTATTTATAAACATTATAAATACTATTATAAAATTAGAAGTGATTAATCAATTCTTGAATTATTTTTCATTTTCCTTTTTTTTGTTGACAATTACCGTCAAAAACCTAAATTTTGGTGTTGAAAATATTTAATAATTATAAATAAAAATGTGTAAAATAACAATTTATGTTATCCATTAATTTTACTAATTAAAAGTAAAAATGCAAAAACAATCATCTTATTCAGTATATAAAATCGATTTTCCTTTATTCCCACTTTTAACTCCTTTTCGTGATATGTGCAATTGCTAAAATATAGTTTTAAAGTTTATGTTTTTTTTCTGAACACAATATTCAGCTTAATATTAATTTTACTCAAATTAATTGAAAATTCAAATTAAAAATCATTTATGAATTTTCGTATAATGGATCTTGAAAACAGTGCACAAGCAGCTTATTAATTTTGGATAAAATTTAGAGGATGATCCCTCTACTCCCTATTAAATAATTCTACAATTACAACATTGATTGGGATTGATCATTTTTAAAATCAGATAAAAAGAAACAAATTAATAATTTTGAAACTACAAATTCTACCTTATAAGATTGGTTAAAGCATTTGCTAGAATGTATAAAGATCTGCCATACAATTGAAAAAATCATGATAGATTTCAAGAAAATGAGCTTGACAACTATTTTCTTACCCTTGCAAGACAAAAATAAAATTTCAGAAAATTGATAAATTTTTCCTTGAAAAACAGATTTTGCAATACATAGCTTATCATATAAAAGTATGAACTATGCAAAAATCTCATTTCTGAATTTTTTGTTGTTTATATTAATTTTTTAATTCCAAGACAGGGAATTAATAGCCAATAAAATTTTAAAATGCAAAAATTCTTAATTTTTTTCACAAGTGAAGTCATTGTCCAAAAATTTTAAAACAATGACTATTGTAAGTAAGACTATATGTGACTGAACATGTATATAATTATTGGACAGTCTAAATCTGAATTATTACACTTTACAATTTTTACTAGCATTAATAATTAATTATACTAAAAAAAAGTTGATTCAAAAATTTATATCTTGCGATTCTTTAACTGAAATCTTAATATTCACAATTTTATTCATTGAAAACAGGATGATCTGAATACACACAAATTAGAAATAAAGACAAAAGCTATAAATCAGAAAATAGTTTTATCACAAAAATCAGGACAGTTAAGATCTTTGCCACCCTAATTTAGAATTTTGTCATCTAATTTCAACTTAAGAGATAATTCAAAATTGCTCGAGTTTACCATGTTTTAATATCAAATTAAAAACCCAGTTCGGTTAATTTTTTTCTTCGTAATATAAACCTTTTGATATTAAATGACTCATCAGAAATTGAAGTATTTCAGACTTTCTTGTTAATAAATAACAAAAAATGAAAAAAAAAAAAAACTTAGTGCCAGACATATTACATTTGTATCCCAGGAAGAGTAAATAGAATTTTACATAATAATGATTTGTTACAAAAGAAAAGTCATAGTAATTGTTTGTATTAATTAGTAAGTTCGTAAAACTAAAATTTCTCACAATATTTCACTATAATGGTTTCAACAAAGTAATAAAAAGTAAAATCTGAATTTCATAGAAAAATAATTATATGAAAATAATAAAATACAAATTGCATAAATAACTATACATACACTAAAACTTAATTTACTATAAGATAATCCTAATAACAAAAAATAATTTTAGTTAATCAAATGTTTTACCAAAGCTAAAAATATTAAATTACTTTATTACCAAACACTTTCTTTTTAAATTAACATAGCATAACCTTTCAAAAAACTTCATATTTAATGGGTTCTAGAAAAGCAGTTCAACATTAAAACTTAGTAAAAAACAAACAAACTTACTTTTGGTGGTTTGAAAGGGTAATCTGTAGGAAAATGAATAGTGAGAAAAAAGACACCTCCTTGATAAGGACTATCTGGCTGTAATAAACAAAAACACAATCATCATAAACAAAGATCAATAAAACACTTCTAGTAAATCTAAAATAAAATAAAATTTTTTCTCTTTTTTGAACTTTCTATTAAACGAACTACTTTAAGCAACACAAAATACAAGTTCTTAGGCATTACGCATACTTCAGCAAAGTACACAACTTATCTGCTGCCAAGGATACAAAACCAAGTCTACTACACAGATCATATGAGATATTTTTAAAAATTAAATTATAACAATAGATTTTACAAATATCGTGACATGCTAGAAGTCAAAATGATTATCCTGAACTAAAAAACCCTTAGAACCTACATTGAATCAAAAACTTGAATTTTTTGTCATTTTAATAAAATTAGTAGTATCTCCTAGCAAGAGAAATTCCAGAGACCAGATTATTTCATTTCTTAAAAAGAGGTAGTCCTTATTTAAAAAGTATATGAACAATTATAGATTTTATAGTTGCAATCTCTTTCATGTTATGCATCTACTGATTTTTCTTCACAGATAGTCATAAGATAATGTGAAACCCTAGCTTAAATTTGTTTAACAACCATTTGATGGTTAGATCTGTAGACTTCAATTTTTCTTCTTTTTCCTCGGTTTAATGCTCTATTAAAAGTAATATTTATTGTTTTAAACACTTTCATAAATTGTTAAATTTTTTTATATATAAATTTGATTATATTTAAATGAATAATCCATATTTTTTATTATTTGGTTCTCTATTCCTTGGCTCATTACTTACATCGTTTTTAATTACGGAATTTTAAATTTCTGTCTTAAATCCCTTTAACTACTCAATTACTGCTAAATTAGTTATATTTTCCTTCGATATTAATCTTTCCCTCTTTGAAACGATGACATACATCATGTATTGATGAAACACAAACAGAAAACTACATTTTTCTACACATTACAGCTCAAGCAAGAACTAAAAATGATAGAAATTTTCACTCTATAAATAAGGTTGTAAAAAATGATTTTATGGAAATCTTTTTAAAACATATATCAATTGAAGCTCTGATAAAATATAATAATGCTTAATACATTTTAATAACAATATAACTAAATATTTCTAATGAAAATGGCTAAAACAATTATATAATTATAATAAATTAATCACAGATAAAAAAGATGACTTTTTTTTTTATTCAATTTCACATACTTTAATCAGCATTCAATCTTATTTTTTCAGTTAGTTTTAAATATTAATGTGTAACAATTATCCTCAAATTATTTATTATAATTAAAACTCATTCAATGTCTATAAAATCAGATGAAAACAATACAGCATTTTATTTTTATCTAGGACTAAAGAATTTAACTTGCTTTGAACTGTGTAAATGTACTTCAGATAAAACACTTAGCAGGAAGGAAAAAAAAACATTGTATTATCACAAAATGAATTTAGCTGAGAAGTGGAAGTTGAAGCACAAAACATTGCTCAGTAAAATCAAGGACTCATGGGCTCAAATAGACTTTCCATTGTAAAAACCAACTATTTTTGATTTCTTTGTTACATCCGGGTTCTTGTTAAGGTCTTGTTATAAGCAAGTTTGACTACGTTAAAAAATTCTTTGAGTATGAAATTCTCTTCAATTGCATCATAACATGCTATTTTCAAACGAGTAGATTTCTCCGAAGAGAAAGATAGATTTAGTAATAAAGAATTAATTTTGTATTTCTCAACTTCTATCTTACTTTTTGAAATTTTTTTCAGTGTTCCTTAACTCGAATACACCTTTTCATGAGGTCAATATATCAAAATTCCCATTCAAAAAGACCATAATCAACAGAGTTGTCCATTAAATAGAACTCTTAAATTTTTAAAGTGTATCATATTCTACATTTGACATATACAAGTATAACAAATTTCACTCATGCAAATCCTTTTTAAAAATAACAATTCAATACAATTAAAATAGCTATTTATATGAACTTTGTATCTAAGAAAATGAATTAATATACTTACAGGACCCATTATAGTAGCTTGCCAGTGAAATACTAAAAAATGAAAAATAAAATTTATCATAACATAATAAAATATTATCATAACAAAACTTTAAATTTTAAAATAATTTCACAGCACTTACAATCATCACCAACAGGGCCAGCTGAACATTGGGCTGGAGGATCACGTCCAAGATCTTGTAGTTCCTAAAATAAAATAAAAATTTATTGCAAAGAAAAATATCCAATTATTGCATTTTTTAACTTTTTTTTTAATATGAAACAATTGATTCAAAATCCTCTTAATGGAACTATTACTATGTGAATATCACAAAAATTTCATATTTTGAAAAGAAAAATTGCAATAAAATTTACACCAACTAATGCAAACCTATGATGTATAAAAATATATGACGTATAAAAATATATGATGTATAAAAATATATGACCTATAAAAATATATGATGTATAAATTTAATCTCAGCAATAGATATAATTATTATTGACATTCAAAGTAATTATTCTGTACTAACAATGAACATTAAAACCAGTTTAAGATTACCTGTGATTATCTATATTTAGTTAGAAAATATATAATAATTACTAGTCATAAACAATTCAATTACCAATATTGAAACAAAGAAATTTCAATTAGTTAAACATTTTCTATTTTCCTTTGGGGATATTTCTATATTGTGATGTGTCGCACCAACTATAGTCGCCAAAGTGCCAAAAAGTTTTAACTTTCAAAAATTTTAAAAAATTTAGATGTTTGCCACAGGGTTGGCTACAAGTTATACCTTTGGAGTTGGCCCCTATCTGTCTCACCAATACTACAGCGGAAGCTACAATTTATCACAGTATAAGTAGATTATTTCCACCATCAAAAAAAGAAGGAAAAAAATTTAACAGAAAAACTAAGAATCAGTTAAGTAAAGATAAAATTAAAAAGATTTTTCTTTCTTCATTTATAAAAAAATAAGAAATGATTCCTTCGTTTATTTTTAACNTGGCAGCTATCTGTCTCACCAATACTACAGCGGAAGCTACAATTTATCACAGTATAAGTAGATTATTTCCACCATCAAAAAAAGAAGAAAAAAAATTTAACAGAAAAACTAAGAATCAGTTAAGTAAAGATAAAATTAAAAAGACTTTTCTTTCTTCATTTATAAAAAAATAAGAAATGATTCCTTCGTTTATTTTTAACTATCTCGATAGATAATGTTCGTTTGTTTTGTTTGTCTACAAAGTATCTGTGATGGTATGGTAATGAATTTGATTTGGAGAAATTTAAAATAAACACTATAAAAGAAAATTTTCGATTTCTTCCTTTAAAATGAAGATATTATTTCAAAATTAACTGCCAGTTCAATTTTTTTTTTTTGCTTTTTGATTTCTTTATTATGTTTAGTATAAGTATGTTTTTCTTTTGAGCAAAGCTCAAGTATGATTGTATAAACTTGATATTAAAACAAAATTTTTGTGAATAGAATTAATATCTAATATTTGAAAGTTAAGCTACATATAGGGTAGACTAAGCTTGAATTTTACAATAATCTCTGACTGTGTGGAAACCTCGAGCTAAATTTGAATTTTTAAAAATAGTACTGCAGATTGACTCAATTCTACTACCAGAGCTATCATGTCAAAATCTTAATATACCATCATTTCCTTTAATAAAAGAAGTTAATTTAACTTACAAGATATGTAGATTTCTCAGGAATATTTCCGTTTTGCGATCTGCATTTTAAATGGGAATTTTAAAAAAAAAGTAGAGATTTGACATTGCCAGGGGAAGGCTAAGAGTTTAACCCTTCCAGTTGTTCTTTTTCCGTGAGGTCTTTTTTCCAGTTTATCGCGGCCACTGCCCGGAAGTTACCAAGATTTGGCGACTATTCAGCCACAGATCAAGAAGTGGAAAAATTCCAGATTTCTCAGCATCCTATACTATTTTACCATAAAATTTATACTTTTTATTTAACACTATAAAATGATGCAGATTTAAAGGCTTGAAATTAATGGTGGTTTATTGATTGTAAGCCTCGCATTCTGGTCCAAATTTATATCACAAAATAGCATATTTAATCACGATTGAAACAAAACACATTCTTTAATTTTTGATTTAAATTCAATTTATTAATCTCTGATTCTTTGCACCAGCATCTATGTACCTACTACTGGACTATGTACTGTATGTCTGCTACTGGAAGTGTAGTAAAATTTGCCCTTAAATTGCTACATTAGAAATTTGGGAATATTAAATTTAATTATGAGTGAGATTAATTTTTCTAATAATGAAAGAAATGAATATAAGAAATCCATTATCAGTGTAATTATTCTAATTTAAGACCAAAATATTTTCACGATTTAAATACCCAAAATCAATGAAATTTAAATGCGTAATATCAAAAGATGATAAGTGGTGATAATAATTAATCAGTATTAAAAAGAATTTTTTAGAGAAGAACATATCTTAAATTTATTCAATTTCTCTTTCTTTATACAAGTAACCTTACTCTAAATTATAAAATTACTTGTGTAACAATTAAATAACCTCAGACATAAGGGATCCCACTATTTAGTGGCTAAATAAATTTAAAAATTGAACATTTATTCATAAAACACAAGAATTTGTAAGCCGTTAAACTCTATTAATAAAAATATTACATGTATATAAAATTACTAAGTAAACATACTAGCAGATACGTAATATAAAGCTTTCAATAACTAGACAAATTTGAAAAAAAAAACTGAGGAATTTCAATATTTATTCCAGATTTTAACGGAAGAATGTTTTATGGCTTTTACCATTAAAACAATGCAAGAACAAACATTATATAAGCGTATATTATCGTCAGTAAAACTAAACTAAAGAAAGTCATGTGAATTCGTACAACAAAATCGGTGTAGGCCTAACTTTTTTTATTGCAAGAATATAAACAAAAACTGTTTATAACTAATAATTTGAAGATTTAAAGTCAATATGAAGTAGTTTGAAAGAGATTTATTGAAATATACACCAATTCGTGTTTTTATTTTTTGCATCAAACCTAGTACTGTAGGCAGCATCGTCTCAACATTTTAACGAGGACATATTTCTTACCTTATTAATTCTTTTCAAAGCCATTTGTTATATTTGAACGGAATGAATCCGAAATACGTTTTGGGATTATTTACAGGCACTCTAAATTATATTTACTAATAATATCCAATCGCTTTAATAGTTTAAAGCTAAAGGCGTTGAACTGCAGATGTAGTTAATACCCCAAAAGAGCAATAGAGCAGATACAGAAGTGAAAGAAAAAAAAAAGTTAAAATTGCGACGAACGACGTGAGGCGGTGCAGCCAGATAAATAAAAATAATTATATTATAACATTTTACTTTTGAAAAAAATAATAAAAGATGCAAACAGATAGTTAATATTAAAGTTAAAAATAAGCAAAGAATTTTAAATTTTTTTTTTAATTCATTGATACGGCAAAAAAATCAAATATAATCTTTTATTTGATTGTACATGAAGTAGATTTCCTGTTTCATAAACTTTTGCTTCACAGGATATAAAACCAGCTACAAAAAAATAGATTATTACCTTTATTAATTAATTATTTTGCAAAAAAATTAAAAAATAAATAAGTTGCCAAACTTTTTTTTTCTGGCGACAGTTTCAGTAGATCATATTAGTATCTGGCAACCCGTCTAAGGTGTAGTGCAGCTAGTGATGCGGATATCCTTAATTTGTTGGATGTCTATGAAATTTAGTAAAATTTTTTGACAATAAGAAATCAGCGAATTAAATAAAAGTGTTATGAAAACCACGAAAACGATTTTTGCGCGAGATGCTCGTCATTAAACTTATTTTTATGCTCCCCTTTGTTATATGGACTACGGTGGAGAGTTGTGAGTTCATCTTTTTGTTATTTGTTTACAAATAATTATTTTGTTTTGTTGTGATTTTTTCCAATATAGTCTGAGAATTCATTTATTGATTACTAAAACATAGCATAAAAAATAATAAGAACGTTCTTATTAGCAACTACAAATCATATTTATTCATTTGTAACATCAACATTTGAATTATTTTCGTAAATAAATCGTAGTGGAATCTGAAATGTTTTAAGTTAACTCTGTTAACTTTATTAAATCTATATCTGCAATTTTTTATAAAGTAACTTTTTTAAAATAGCTTCTCAATTAATTATCGTTTGTTTTATATTTATAAGAGTTTTATTTCAAATTTTGGTTTTTAAACATTCGAATAATACCCTTTAAACGCTAACCTTTGTTTGTAACCTGGTTATTTTATAAAATTAGACTGTTTTTACTAATTCTTTATATAATAATATTTCTTACAATCTGGGGATGTAAACATAATAGAACATTAATAGTATATAAAATTATCTCTCAAATTTTATATAAAGAGTATATTATTAATTATTATTTTATTTATTATTGTTTATTATTGAATATATTAACTATTATTTTAAGTATGTATTGAGAATATAAGTAATATAATACTTAAGTGTATATTATTATAAGTGTTTATATATTATTTTATTATTAAGTGCCTTTTTTAAAAGTTCTACACAAATCGCATAAGATTTAACCAGTTTTATCTTTTTCGTATCTTTCTATGCAAATAGAGATAAAAATAAAAGAAGTGTTGTCTAAAAAATTGTATTTGACACAGTAGGTAAATCTTGGCATATATTGTCTGTGAAAGAATAAAACTTTCCTAGAAAATTCCTAACATAGCTTTCCGCATTGAATAAAATCTGTGAATTATTGACTTCATGTTAGTTTGTAAAAAATAAAAAGCATATTTGAATAACAAAACAATGCATGTATTGTATAATTATTTGTGCATTTGTAACATTTACTTAATATTTTATACATTATTACCCAACATTTACTTAATATTTTGAACTTAATAATAAATAGAAAATTATTACTTTTATTTGAAATTTTTTTTAACAAATAACTATTGTCCATCCCATCCTAATTCATTAAAAAATTACCCTATTCAGAAATTCTGTACTGATGTAGACATCTACATTCAATGATTTAAGTACCATCTAGATAAAGAAGTACAAGTTATATTTTTAGATCTAGGTTTTGAACAGTTTATTGATATGTAAAATTTTTGAATAGTTCACTAGCTGTGAACATATTTTGTTTTACTTTTAAAGTATGATAAGGTTTTCAATTTATTTTATTGAACTGCGAAAAGATAAGTGTGTGTGTATGTATATATATATATATATATATACAGTGCAGAACCCGTTATCCGGAAATTAGAAAACCGAAAAACCAAAAAACCGGAACAAATTCGATAAATTTTCCCGCCATTTTTTTAAAAAAACATTTTTTTTCCTTATAAGATTTTAGGATTTTTCTTTCTTTTTTGGAAGATGTTTACCATACCATCATTTTCGAAATAATCATTACTGTAATTACTCTATCGTTTTTTCTTCTTCTTAAGATTATTTCCAAATATATATTTTTTTTTAGTTGGGTTTAACAATTGAAACAGAAAACCGGAAAAATCAGTTATCCGGAATAGCGATGGTCCCGATCGCTCCGGATAATCGGTTCCCTACTATATATGTATATATATATATATAAATAAAGTAAAACATTCCTGCAACAGCCCATTTGGGGTCATAGAGGTTAAGGCTCCACGATTTTGTGACTAATGGCTGGGTTGTTGTAATGGGGTCAGTTCTGCCCAACAAGCCGCTTTTGTTTACCAAACAAGCTGGTACCCATCGATCTGAAGCTGGGTGAACTTGGGCTTCCACTGGGGATTGATTCCCAGTTCTTCCAGAGGGTTCTGCTCCTGGAAAAAATCCGGATTATAGGATTTTCCGCTAACCGTAATCCCAAAGTTTCGAGATATCATCGATCAGCCTATTTATGTATAAAAATTCTTGTGTATTTTATTCAGAAATATTAGAACTAGAATTTATACTTGCCATCTCTTTCATTTGTAAAAAAATTTTCTGGTATAATAATAAATGTGATTAGACATAACTATCCATTTAAATTACGCTGCATATAATTTATTTAGAATTTTGTGTTTTGAAAATATCAATTATTTAAATTTATAAAGACAATTCAATTTTTTAAATGCGTCATTAATGATTTTACTCAAGAAATTTTCAGGAGTTCGGTTCACAATTTGATTTTCAAATTGCGTCAGTAGGAATAACAGTGTTTGATTTTCCGAACACACTAATTTGAATCCTGATGAATAATTTTAAATCACAAGAATATAATATCTGAAAATAAAAATTTTCAAATCACGTGAATGTAAATGATAATGTTTGATTTCTTTAAATGTAATAGTGTGGGAACAAAATCACAATCATGCAAAGATAAAATTTAATTTCCTTTTAATAATTTTCTAGTTTATAATTTATTTTCATGCATTTTTTTTCTTTTTATGTAATTTTTTATAAACGTTAAAGTTTCTCAAATTATTATATTGAAATGTTAATAGCTGTATGATAATTTTGTCTTACTCATTTAAAAAAATTCTGAAATAGAAATTTAGATTAAGTAATTACTTGAAGTTAAGAATTGAGGTCAGGTGTTAATATGAATCTGCCTAGATCACTTACTGGAGGAATAATCAATAGTTTATTTTTGTATTTGTTTATTTTGTTATAAGCAAGCAGTTTTAAGTGATGCAAAGTTTAAAACCTAATTTTAATTTATTTCTTATAGATATTATAAAACCTACATTTTTCTTACTTAAATTTTAGGAAATCTTCAAAATGATACAAATGTTTTGCTCATGAGCTCTATTTTCTGTGTTTTGAAAGTGCAATTCAGCATAATGATAATTTTAAAAATCCCGATATATTTGTTTCATCAGGTCATTTATCCAAATAAAGTTGTCATTTGGTAGATGACGTGATGATATAGTGATTGTGAATAATATTTATATAACATTTAAATTTTTGTGAATAATACTGCATAATACTCCTTTAATAGAAATAATTTTTGCCTGGGTCATTGGGCTACCAAAGCTGGGTCATTGGGCTACAAAGCAAGCTTCTGTAGAGGATCAAAAAATCGTGATGGCATGTCTTCGGATCATTCTCTGGGATGTTTTCCAGATTGTCACCAATATCCCATTGTGCAGCTCTAGTGCGACATAAATAAAGTACCCCCCTCCCCTGGCAGAATCACAGCAACATTTTTGCATATCGTTAAAGAGTTCTTGCAGAAAGATTTTTCTTTTAAAAAGTTTAAAAAAGAGTTGCTTTTATTTTCTACAGAAATTTACACGTAATATTTGAATCATGCATTTAGATGATCACTTTCTGACGCGCTCAATTTACGCCAATATTATCGTAAATCAATTTAATGTTTAGATTGTATTTTTGGCAGTTATTCATATTGATTTTCAGGTGGCTTTTAAATATCCTGATATATTTCAAACAAAATGGAAAATTTGAATCGTGCATTTGAGGATTTACTTTTTAAGGCAATAATTCTATCGAATTTTTGGCAGTTATTGCTATTAATTTCTCCATAGTTTTTAAATCCAATATTTTTTATGCAATATCAGGGATCTGTCCAGGCCGAATTTACTACCGTTTAGCGGTACCTTCACAAATTCAACTTAAGGAAAAACGGTAGTTTCACAAATTCAATTTTAGGAAAAACGGTAGTTTCACAAAATCAGTTTTAGGAAAAACGGTAGTTTCACAAAATACTTTTTCTTAAAATTTCATTTTTTTATCCCTTAAGAAACAATAAATCCATACTTTTGTGTTGATTTTTTAATATAATTTTTAATTTTTCACAAATTACATCTGAATTTTCACAAAATAGGTACCTGTCAGAAAAACTTAGACAGACCCCTGAATATTATTTATTACAACAACCTATTCTCGAAACAAAACACACATTTGAGGATTCAGACAGATTCATATTTCGTCACTGGTCTCTTATCAGTAATTTTCTGTGGATTTCATGATTTTTATTTGTTTTTTTTTTAATCTTGATTTACAAAATACGAGGGAAAAAATGTTTGTGAGCGTGAGCCCCCCCCCCCTTAACAAAATGGGATAATTTCACCCATAATATTAGAATAAAAAATTATTACATGTTCAATTTTTAAAAAAAAAAATTTAAACACAGCATTTTTGTTATTTTAAATTAGTGACATATGTTTGTTATTGCTAAAAGTATCTTGCAGAAAGATATTAGTGCTAGAGAGTTTTGTCGCAGATAGCTCGAAAAAATTCTGCCACAGGGAAAGTGCCTACCTACCCGTAAAAAACCCTGCACTTGTTAGAAGTAGTAGATGTAGTTTTTCTTTTCTTATTTATTTATTTATTTTTTAAGTTGTATATTTATGAAGAATAATGTCAGTTACTTTTTGAATATATTACGTACAAAAGGATGTTTAAAATCTAAAGAAGTTATTTCCAAGTAAAACACAGGGTGCAGCAAAAAAAACATTTATTTATATATTAAAAATAAATAAATGAATAAATAATAAGAGTTTGCTTTTAGTTAAAAATAAATTTAATTGGTTTCTAAGTGGCCACCTTTTGCAGCAATACAGAAAGGCAAATATTTATTGTCAATTTTCAGCAATGGAACCCAAATCAGCACTGGGAAAGATTCCTTTTCACTGATGAGAGGTTCTTAAGTGTCCTGTAAGCTCCTCCAAGAGCAATAGAATCTGATCTGTAGACGCTTCAAGCAACAATTGCTGAATTTGCACCTCAGATTTTTGATAATTCAGGTGTTAAAATAAATCAAAAAGAGTAGGAGAACATTCTACTTCCGTAGGCCAAAAAGCAGTTCGGCAATGTAAACTGGATATTTCAACAAAATTCTGTACCATCTCACGAGGCTAAAGAGACTCAAGAGTGGTG